CATATTATCAACATCAGATATGTGTTTTTATGTAAGGAAAATGTAGTTTCATCATGTGTCATAATGGGTGGGAACAAAAGAGTTCTGACCATCTTTGCAATGATATTCCACTTCCAAATAGCTTCCCAGTGCAGGGCATGGCTCTCCAAAAGATGAAATATCGGCAGCAGCCTGACACACCTACAGTCCGTGGCAGTGCTCTTGACCGAAAACAAGAAACAGAATAGTTTTACATTAACTGTTCAAATCATCTGTAACATTAATCACGAAATGCTGCTGAATACACAATAGTACATGCTGAAATAAACCATTCCTCTGTAAATATAGAACTCAAGCATACATTTGGTTATAATTTCCTTTTTATGGTTAAGAAGCATGTAATCTGATAGTTGTTGAGCGCTTTTGTAAATGGTGGAGGAGCTTTTTGAGCTGTTTTGCCCTGTATGAAAGAAAGAACGCTCTGTAAAGTCCATATGTTCCCCATTAATAATACACTGTATATGGGTTTGGGACTCATAAAACAAATTTTAAAAAATCTTAAGTGACAAGCCTGAAATCATAAAATGTTCTTTATTGTTTATGGCACTTATACCACAAATAGGGTACAAAAAGGTGCATGTAACTCTTTAAAAAACACACGTTTTTTTGACAATGGTTAGTTAGAGATTTTTAACACTTTGCTGTTGATTGTAAATCTTAGGAAGTCAAACACAATATTATATGCTGCTGAATTTCTGACTATATTTATATGATGTTTGGAATTGCAACCCTGTTACCAAAATGTGGTAATGTCCCTGATTTGGGTGATTTTAAGGAATAAAACTGTAAGTAAATGCACCGATACCACTTTTTCCAGTACTCGCCCGATACCGATACTTTTATTTTTGGTACTTGCCGATACCGAGTACCGATACCAATATGTTATTGCATTTGTACATTTTTTAAATATTGGGTACAGAAACCAAAAGAGTATGTATAATGTTAGTTGGTTAACTTCATTTATCAAATAGATACAGTCAAACCAAAATTTATTCAGACACCTTCAACATTTCTCACATTATCACAGTTTATTTGCTATAGTTTAGAAAATGGTAATAAAATATAACAAGAATATAAGTCAGAACAAATTCAGCTTGATAATGTTATAACTTTGATAGAAAGGTATGTAGCCTAATGGATTACAATCAACACCCAGCTTCATGCAAACCTGAACTTCTTTTTTTTTTTCCCAGACTCGGTCTGAATAATTTTTGATCCCAAATTTGTATCAGTTTTACTGGTAGTCGACTGTATGAAGAATTTTTGGGTATAATTTGTCACAGTTTACGTTATTTTGCTATCCTCACTTACATAAATTAATTATAGTGTCCTGCACCCACTAGTAAAAAAATATCAGAAATTATATCTGGTCTCTGGTTATTCTGTTGTCTACAGTACTAATAAGTATGCAAGAATGCATTACAATTTCGCAAGTAACAGGGCTTCTGTCATTTAGTTTGGGGCCAAAAGTTTGTTTGTAGTTATTTTTAAATTTCTCAGAAGAAAACTATATTTATTTGTTTATTTTTTCTTAAAATAGCTTGGGCAATAAGGTTGAATGCAGTCAGCAACAATATGTGAAAAAAAAATTGCAAATAGCTTTTAGTACTATTAATTACATTTTAATTTAGTCAAAATATGACATTGTTTTAAAGGGGTCATATGATGCGATTTCAAATGTTCTTTTCTCTTTGGAGTGTTACAAGCTCTTGGTGCATCTTGTCAAAGGAAGGGGCTTTGTTGAAAACGACGCGTTTGAGAGAGGCGGGGCATAGAGGACCTACAATAATGTACAGTATTTGAAAAATAATGTGTTTTTTGAACATTAAAGCATGTCAACATATTCTGTTACACAAAATACACCAAATAATGATCTTTAAAATAGCATCATATGACCCCTTTAAGATTTTTATTGTTAGATATGAGGTCAAGCAGGGCATTGCCTCTAAATTTGGACACACCAAAGTTCCCATTTTAAGGGTCGATACAGACATTTAATGTGTTTAAAATGAGCTACTTTTCACTATAGCTTTATTTTTTTTAGATATCTTTTAGATAGATAGAGAGACCAGAGCCACACTGAAGCGTATAGCTTTATGCTCAGCGCAGGCTAAGGAGCGCCCAGACTCTAAAAAAATCAATCAAATATGTTCAAACTAAATCAAAACGCAAAGTTGAGAAGGAAATATTCTCACATAAAGAAAGAGACCAACCAAACTCGCAAATAAAGTAGAACTCCTGGCTACAGTTGCTGGTGGGTTTCCACTGAAATCCAGAATCTCTCCTGATGTAGCCACAGGATGCATTTAGCCAGGGCTCCTGAAGCCAGTTGGAATAACCAACATCCGAGCCATCTAACCAGAACAAGGGACCTGAGAACAAAAAGTAACAAAATAAGATAACAACATTTACGTTTTGTTAAACATTTGGTTTTCATACTTCAGCATCAGTAAACAGCATGGAATGAATAAACAGTGCCTTCCTCACTATTCAAAAACTTCTCACAAACTGTGTTTTTACTAAAGAAATCAAATAAGATTAACCAAATTTGTGCTGAATAAGTCTGAGGATGTGTTAAATGGTGCTTGAATCTTACAAATATAGGGCATAGCTATGTGGTTGCTAAAGTGTTCTGTGTCTTTTTAACATGTTGCTGTTGCATACGGTTTCAAGTAAAAAAAAAAAAATTTGTCTTTGTGATATTCTGGTCACTACACTTTAAAAAATGCTGGGTTAAATATAACCCAGCGTTGGGTTAAAAAGGGACAAACCCAGCTATTGGGTTGTTTTGACCCAGCGGTTGGGTTGTTTTGAACCCAGCATTTTTAAGAGTGTATAGATGGCTCAGGTCCACCCTGCAATGCATTAGATATTTTCATCTATTTTATTTTCTGCCAGGCAAAACAATCAAAAGACTGACTGCTTAGAAATTTAGTTGATTTTTAGAAAGAAAAAAAAAGATAAGCTTCACATTTCTACTTTTAAATCCACCAGAAATTGGATCCATTCACTTCTATTGTATGTGGTTTATTTTAACCGACTGTTTTTTTTTTTTAAGACAAGCATTGGTAGGTACAGGCGCTGCCTCTAGGAACTCGGTAGGTAAAGGTACATATATGAATGAATCATAATTTAGTATTGACAATGGGGTTCTGCATTCATCTATGAATCAATTCATCTTTGAAACTGTCATAGTATGTGTATGTTCTGTTGATTTGCCTCATTGACAAGAGTTCAGGAGTAGATTAAGACTCTTTGGTGCTCATGGGCACTGACCACTAAATCTGGACGATAGCAAATTGACTAAAACATGCCAAGGTCCAAGCTAATCATTACCAATTGCCCACTGAAAGAACTCTTTGTAAGCTTCTTTCTCACATTTTGATATTGCAATGCTAACTAGTTATTGACGTCCTTGAAATACAACTGTTAACCACTTCGAACTCAATGGCTTGCTAAGAAAGGGTAGTCTTTTTTAGAGTCATTGACTACGTTTACATGGACATCAGTAATCTAGTTATTTACCTTATTCTAAATATGACAATATTATGATTATGGTGTTTACATGAGTTGCTTTTAGAATATTCCTTTCATGTTCCCGTTTTACATGTTATAGTACATAGTTCGATTAATGGCACACGTCATTACGTCCCACGTGACGCCATCCGACGTCCCCTCCGGAATTTCACGTATAAACATATAGTTCGTCTTCGTGATGATGCCATGTACAGTTTTGGGTGTTTCATTTTTAATTTTATGAAAGCTTCAAGTGCAGTTAATTATTTGTACGTGCATACAGACGATGGCGGTGTTATAAGTAGCTACTGATGATGCTAGAAATGTGCAAGAAATTACACCGTGCCTACAGCAGATCTCCATCGGCTGATCTGAGATTATGATCATTTACAAATTTACCAAAACAAGTCAGTTTTTATTGATCAAAATCAGTTCAAATCGATTCTCATAGGTCAACATCAGGTCAAAATCCACTGAAGTTTATGTCATCAATTATGACAATATTTAGAAAAGACATTCATTATAAAGATATACGGTGTATAAATAAAGTCTCCAGAAAGAACTTGACCTTAAATTATCATTAAAAATTCTAATCATGACCCACAAGTGAAAATCTCAAATAACATTGCTGGCTTACAACTAGCCTCTTATCAAAACTGTTTTTCTTTTAGTCTGAGGTAAAAGTGCATTGATGTTTGTGTACTGGCAAGCCTTGTTTATTTGTTTATCATGCAGGTTCATTGATTGTGCAATTAACCTTCATTCATGTCCTATTGGGTTAATATAGGCTAGTGATTATGCAATTTACATTCATTCATGTCCCATTGGGTTAATATGCTTTACTGTTAGACAGGCGACAACCAAGCCATTTACACTAGTCAACAGTTTGTAATATGTAGCCTATGTATTTATGTATTTGTAAAAATACAGTAAAAGTATAAAAGTCTTCTTTTAAAAACAATTTTAAAACACAAAAAAAATCATTTTTCCAAAAGTTTGAGTAGTGTACATATTTTTTTCACATTTTAGACTTTTGAATGGTTAATATGCTTTACTGTTAGACAGGCGACAACCAAGCCATTTACACTAGTCAACAGTTTGTAATATGTAGCCTATGTATTTATGTATTTGTAAAAATACAGTAAAAGTATAAAAGTCTTCTTTTAAAAACAATTTTAAAGCACAAAAAAAATCATTTTTCCAAAAGTTTGAGTAGTGTAGGCTACATATTTTTTTCACATTTTAGACTTTTGAATTCATTCGTTTATTACCAGATCGTGGCTGTATATACATTATATGCATTAACATTGCATTTAAAAGCAATTGCAAAAAGACCCACTAACTCCATGAAATGTTCTGCAGAGTAACTACGAACTTCCGTGAACTTGACCCAATTAACGTGTGACTTGAGAGGAACTCTCCAACAGTTATGTAATGATTCACAAACGCGACAGCTCTCACGCAGTGTATCAGATACTGTATGTAGCGTGTTATAAGCGTGTGGCATACAGCCATGTCAGTAAGCGCTCAGCTTCAGCTCAATATGTTGTCGTTTTTCTGGAGAAACGGAGTGGAGACGCCGGAGCCGCTTAAAGCAGATGTGACAGGTAAGGTTTCGGTTTCACTGAACATTTTTGTGCAAAGTAAGGAACACAGCTGTACTATCAAGACTCCTCAAGCAGATGGTAGCTTAGCTGCAAGAGCAATGTAAAACAGATGGGTTTGATTCCGAAATTTCAGTGTCTGTTTTTAGAAATGCACATTTATGAAAGAACTTCCACATCCACATAGTCTTTTTTCTACGGAAAAGGAATGCGAGTTGGTCTGACTCGTGAACGAGTCGTTCTTCTGAAGCGGATCTTTTCAATGAATCGTTTGAACTGGTTCACAAGACCTTTTGCACGACTCGATCCTGACCATGAATGACCAGTGAGTGAGCGTTTGGAGGGAATTGAGCGAGAAAAAAAAAGCAATAGCCTAGTCAAATAGATGAAATGTAAAAAATGTAAATATGAAATATTATTGCTTGTGTACATAGGAAACAGTTGTTAAAATATTTGCATTTTAATGAAATACGCAAAAACTTGTATGGTGACATATGTATGCAGATGTGCCTTTATAGCCTATGGCTTTATGTGAATGTTTTAAATTCAGAATAGCATACTGGGCATACTACTATTTCTGCCATATCTTTAGAGTGCCAGAGTCAGTTCTGGAAGTAAAAAACTCATTCATTTTCACTATAGGAGTATTGACTTTAAATTCTGACATATTAGCCTGTAAAGACAGATCTACCATGAGCTATGCCAGCAATGTCATGGTAAATATATGAATATTGAATATATATATAATATAATATAATGCCATGGTAAATAAATGAAGGTAAATATAAAACGAGTTACTTGTACTTATTATAAAACGTGAGATTTTTTTCTGTAAAATAATAGTAATAATAATAACAATAAAGCAATCAGAAGATTAGAAGATGCAATCAAACACTGCTGCATAGGCAAAGTTTGCTTGCAAAAAAGTTTAGGAAACTGATCCATTGGCATGGGCCACAAGAGCATTCTTTCAGGACTAAAGTTATTAGGTAAAATGTAGCCTACATAAACATTTTGAACTGTCAGTGGCCCTAGAGGGTTTGAGAGAGACCCTGTATGCCTATTTCACAATTTGGAAAAACAACAGAACTTATTGCATTGTGAACTGATCAGTCCATTATTTATCCTTCCAAATATTGTAATTTTGCACCTTATTGCCTCACTTTTTATAGATTTGCTAAAAGCCTCAATGTCAGCTTTACACATTAAATGGTCCGTTTTTTCTTTTAGGCTCCATCCCACCATGGCTTCAGGGGACACTCTTACGAAATGGTCCTGGTCTGTTCTCAGTTGGTAACACTTCTTACAAGCACTGGTTTGATGGAATGGCACTCATCCACAGTTTCACGTTTAAAGATGGTAAATTGGGTGAAAAAGAACCTTTTAAATGACATTTATGGAAAGTGCAGTACTAATCTGAACACTGTTGCAAAATCTGCAAAGTGCTTGTGCTATTTTACTACATCTAGGAATGTATAGAGTTTTGGATGCACCATAAACAATAAAACTTTTTTTTTTTCAGGGGACGTATTTTACAGAAGTAAATTCTTGAATAGTGAAACATACAAAAAGAACATAGCTGCCAATAGGATCATTGTGTCTGAATTTGGAACCATGGTTCATCCAGATCCCTGCAAGAATATATTCTCCAAGTAAACGGGCATTCCTTCTGAACCTTTTTAATTTTGTATTATGATTCCAATCAAAATGACCTGGTTAATTCCATTGTATTGTTTTGTAGGGCCTTCAGTTACTTCATGAATGCCATTCCAGATTTCACAGATAATAATCTCATTAACATCATAAGATATGGTGAAGATTATTACGCATCATCAGAAGTGAATTACATTAACCAAATTGACCCACTGACACTAGAAACATTAGGAAGAGTAAGTCCAGATCTGTTCATCCATTCATTTGTTTTGTCAACTGCATCTCAAGATGTTTTTGTCATGCCACTGCGGATAAATTGTTCTTTATTATCATTGCAGACTAACTACAGAAATCACATTGCCATTAACTTGGCAACCGCACACCCTCACTATGATGAAGAAGGGACCACGTACAACATGGGCACTGCCATCATGAACTTCGGCAGACCGAAATATGTTATTTTCAAGGTGCCAGCCAATGCCACAGGTAACAAGACAAATGTATACCATTGGTGACTATTGTGGCCCTTTGCTGTATGAATACAAAAAATATAGACATGATTAGAAATGGCATAAAAAATAGTCAGAGTTGTGAACTTCACAATCAAAAATGACAAATCAGCCACGATGAAGTAGTCTTTGATAATATCTAAATCTAAATATGTCCAAATGCAAAACTTAATAAAAGTAAGTAATTATATCTAAAAAATATTCTTATAGGCAACTTGAAGAATTCATAGCCCTGTATAATGAAATATTTGTTCTGATATTTGTATTATTTTATATAGAAATAAATGGTGAATAATTTAGAAATCCCCTCAAAATACAAATTATTAAAGAATACATATTACAGTAATAAATGTTTGTACATTCGTTTCATTAAAACAAAAAACGTCTTCTTATCTGAAGTCAGTTTTGACCCCCGAATGAGGAATAACTGAACTATAGATGGGCCGTATTTCAGAAGGAACAACTAAACAATGCATACGTTTCTTATTTCAGATAAAGAGAAGAAGAAGCCAGCCCTCAGGAAGGTGGAACTAATTTGCTCCATTCCTTTCCACTCCACCTTGTATCCGAGCTACTTCCACAGCTTCGGCATGACGGAGAACTACATTATCTTTGTAGAGCAGGCCTTCAAGCTGGATATCCTCAAACTGGCCACAGCTTACTTCAGAGATGTCAACTGGGGCAGTTGCCTGAAATTCGACAAAGATGACATTGTGAGCAAAATGTCTTCTCTTTTGTGTAAAACAGTACTCCATTCATTCATCAAAGTAGTCTAACAACTATTGGTTTTGATCACCACATAGACACTGATCCATCTGGTCAATAGGAAGACTGGGGAAACTGTGAGCACAAAGTACTACGCAGACGCATTTGTGGTCTTCCATCACATCAATGCTTATGAAGAAGATGACCATGTTGTCTTTGACTTGATCACATACCAGGACAGCAATCTGTACGATATGTTCTACATACACAACATGAAGCAAGATGTTGACAAATTTATAGAGACCAACAACGAATTCTCTCGACCAACATGTCAACGGTTTGTCCTTCCTCTCAACATAGACAAGGTAAAACAGGAAATATAAAGAGGAAAACTGCAAATGCATTATTCTGACAATAATTCAAATCATTATGGAATTTAATAGTTGATCAGGATATTATAGGCAAGACATAAATGCACAATTCTTGACCAGTTTTTAGATTTGCTTTGTGCGGTTAAATTGTAACAGGAGAACTCTTTCTGTAAATAATTATTAATTGTATCAAAACCACTGAATAGAGGCCAAATTCCATATCCAATTTACGCTTTACTTTACCATATCACTTTTCATAGAATAACAAACCTTTTCTCTCATGCTATCAGGAAGCTCCACCAGACACCAACCTGGTGAAGTTACAGGACACAACAGCCACAGCAGTGCTGAAGCAGGAAGGCTCCATCTACTGCACCCCTGACACTATTTTTGAGGGTGATTCCTATATTCAGAACTTTATAATTTTTTGTTAATTTCTTTCTAATTTTTACCATTGTTTCTTGTATAATTATAGGTTTAGAATTGCCAGGGATTAACTACAAATTCAACAGTAAGAAGTACAGGTACTTCTATGGCACCAGGGTGGATTGGTCACCATATCCAAGCAAGGTAAATATTTAGCATTTATTCAAACCAAATACCTTACTGTTGTTGGCACAATAAAATGCAATCATTTAGCAATATGACCTCTTGTTATATAGATTGCAAAAGTGGACATAGCTACCAGGATTCACCAAGTGTGGATCGAGGAGGAATGTTACCCATCTGAGCCAGTGTTTGTAGCATCTCCAGATGCTGTTGAAGAAGATGAGGGTGAGTATTTTATAGAAACATTTGACATTTTTGCTAAATATTGATAATGTTTCTGCATAATAAAAGATTTGAAAACAAATAACTAGTCTTTAAATGCAGCAATCACATAATTTCTTGCATGGCACAAGCTGATTCACTGCAAAAAAAAAGGCTTATCTTAGTATCTTTGTCTTGTTTCTAGTCAAAATATCTAAAAATTCTTAAATTAAGATGCATTTACTAGATAAGCAAAATGACATAATATATTTAGTCTTGTTTTGACATAAACAATTTAGTTTTTAAACTGGAAACGACTAAATATCTTATGTCGTTTTTAGATATTTTGACTAGAAACAAGACAAAAATACTAAGTAAGATAAGCCTTTTTTTTTGCAGTGTTGGCTTCTGCTTATTCTAGAGATTGCTTGCTCATTTAAGTAGTCTGGTTCAGTTATTTGCTGTAAGCTGGTTCTGCAACACTCTAACAGTTGCTTTGAGACCCTCCACCTCCCCTAGTTCCACCTAGTTCCCCTATTTCCACTGCTACAGGATTTATGTATCTTACATGCTCATAGCAGTGTGTCTGTGTATCTATTGGAAGTAGCAAGTCCATACAGCAGCGTGTTGCAGATCTAGACCAAATACAACTTATCCATGCTAAAACTATTAAGAAAGTAATCGTGATTTAACTCTGTTTAAATCAATTGCAAGTTGAGCCACCCATGCTTTTTGCTATTTGTGTGGCACATGGAGATGCTGCCTATGTAGAGTGAACCAAATTGGTCAGTTGTGATGTTCCATAATGATTAGGCAGCTTACTATTAAAGCAAATCTTTTGTAATCATGCTGTCTTGACAAAACATAAGTGCTTTTTCTTCATTTTCAGGTGTTATCCTGTCTTCTGTGGTTTCATTCAATCCCCAAAAGCCTCCTTTCCTGGTGATCCTGGATGCTAAGTCCTTTAAAGAGATAGCTCGCGCTACCATTGACACTGCTATTCATATGGACCTGCATGGGCTTTTCATCCATGATAAGTCTACCTAAAATGGACATTAAGAATAATACAACAACTCATTTTCAGGGAGTAGGATTTAAAAAAAATCTTATTTGTTTATTTTTTTTGTAAAGATATATATGTGAGAGAAATCAATATTTTTCTTCAAAATCCTATGCAAATATTATTGATCATTCTTTCATTCTTTCTAATTATTTGTTTACATTCTGTAAAAAAAGGCTATTGTTACATAGCAACATGATTATATAAAATTATCTCTTCTTGATTGTTTGTGACAATTGAGTAGGTCTTAAAGGGTTAGTTCACCCAAAAATGAAAATTAGTCCATGTTTTACTCACCTTCGAAGCATCTTAGGTGTATATGACTTTCTTCTTTCAGACGAATCCAGTCGGAGTTATATAAAAAATTGTCCTAGCTATTCTATCATTGCAGTCAGCGGGTATTTCAGTGCTTCAGTCCAAAAGAAGTGAAATAAAAAGCACCCATCCATAAAAAAAGTGTCTCACACGGCTCCGGGA